CTGGAGAATTCTGGGAGTTGAAGTCCACACATCTTAAAGTTGTTGAGGTTGAGAAACACTGGTTCGGACAAAAGAAAGCTCTTCATATCTTCTTCTTCTTCTTAGTTGCTTCTTTATTCATTCTCCCAACTTATTACAAGAGAAGAATTCTGGCGTGACCAAAGGTTCATGTTTTTCATGTTGGAAAGACAAGTAACAGATTTTACTCTTTCCTGGAAGTATTTTTATTGATTGATTGATCACATTTATATAGTTACAGTATTTGACCAAAGCCGTGTCTCTCAAGATTCAGGATGATGGCACTTTGACTGAAATTCTTGAAAATAACAGTCCATGTGTGGGTAGAGATCCTCTTATAATTCTTCCTGCGATCTTGGCTTATTTTTGACATTCTTAGAGGTACTGGAACCATTTTTATTTTTTTGGCAAGTTCTAGACCTGGTTCTGAGGGGTTTGTATGGAAAAGACACCTCTGGGCATGGAAATAAGGTGTCTTGTTCACCTTATCCGAATAATTATGGCCTTGCCCTTTTTTAATATGGAAAGGCAGAATATGTATGTAACAAATAATTGTGCGCTCACAAGCACACAGACTTTCCCCCATTTTTCATCTGGCTAGTGTTTAGCTGGCTTGCACGACAGGTTAAGGCTTCATGACTTTTGTCATTCGGACATTATCCTGTCATGTTCTGTGAATCAAGCCATCATGTTAAGCCAGAATGTAGTTTACTTATTTGAGCGTTGTATGTTCTGTGCACACACCAGTTGTGATTTGTTAACATGGGTTGGGTGTGTTATGTGGACTCACCCCTTAAGTACCTTTTATAAAGGGCTGTGGAATCTGTAACTCAGGCTGTGTGAACCTGGCACCCCCTAGACAGGTTGAACTTCCAGCCCCGTCACCGGCTACCTTAAAGTATTTATTAAATTGTATTGTCGAAGGCTAATTTATTAAATTAGTTTGTTCATCGACCCTCAAACATTTATTATATCAATCTCAAACTTCATGAAAGGGTTGATGAGCTGAAGTTTGGGGACCCCTGCTTTAGACTAAGTTTAGTCTTAGACTTTAGACTCACACAACTTGCTAAAACCTAAACTTAGATTAATACAATGTGAACAACTGTGTTCACACCATAAGCAACACTGAAATTAATAAACTATATTTAGTATAGTATGGTATAAATTATGCTATATTATAGCTTAACATGATTGCCTGGTTCCAGGCTCCCAAAAGCTGAATTTCGCAGTCCAGATATCTGAATGTATTGATGCTGGATTTCCACAACGGACTCAACCTCATTTTAATCTAGTCTAGTCTAGCATGTTGTATGGATGCTGCCTTAATATACTCAGATATTCAGGCTGAGCGATTCAGCTTTTGGGAGCCTGGAATTCTGGTCATTTATTTTTAGTTTATCAACTTGCTCACGGGGTAGGCAACTTCAATCCTTAGTGTAGGAAGTCATCCCCAGCTTGTGCTCTCCAGGTCTAAACTCCCACCGTCTCTTGCCAGTACAGAGTGTAGTCCATAAATAGGGTCACACACTTTTTATTGGCTAGCTGGGCCATCTCATGCTTTTTAAAGAACAGAAAGCCACTTCGGTTTTTCACATTCTCCCCCACCCCTGAACCCACAGGTCATAAGGACTACGAACGTGGCATTGAACAAAGGGAAAAGTGGGTTCTCCCACTTGCTGTGGGATTTGATGTTTTGGCCCAGCAGAGCAGCGGAGGAGTGGCAGATGTGCATCCGAAAATCTGACCAGTGTCCCGCCCCGGTTGGTCTCTGTCCTCAATGTCCAGGCGTTCCAGCAAGATGTCCAGGCCAACGCGGAGCACGTGGATCATCTCCTGGTATGTGCAGAGAGTTTGATCCAGAAGAGCCAGCCGGAGGATGCTGAGATCTTGGAGGAAGACCTGAAGGAGCTGATTGGTTTCCGCCAAGCCGTCTTCTCGAGGGTTTTCCAGTTTCAGCGGCGGCTGGTCAGCATGAGGCTGGTATGTCAGCCGTCTCCTTGGCACAGGAAGGCATCAGCCCTGGCACCATCAGGCTGGCTTTAACTGCATTGCAGAAGCACAGAAATCATTCCCAGATGTTGTGTTCAGCTGCCTAAATGTCTCTGGATGTGTGTGTGTGTGAGAGAGAGTGTGTGTGTCTACTCATAGAAAATAAGTTTCTAGTCCATAAGACTGTGAAAGCGGGAGTGAATCTCAAGAAATTCTGGCACCTGAGCAGATTCTCTAATGTTCTGCAGAATCCCTGCCTGTCATCAGAAAGGATAAAGAATTTGAATATTATAGTTAAGTGATCTGAATTGGTGTAGAACTCGGGGTGCCTTTTTAAGGAACAGCTTCAATTATGTGTGGGCAGGGGTTTTTTTTTCTCTCTCTCTCTCTCTCTGTTTTGCTTCAGCTCTAAGGCAACCCCAAGCAGAGCTGAGACCCTGGGGTGCAGGGGGAAAGAAAGCCCCAACTTTCCTGCCTGTCCTGCCCCCTGCCCTGCCCCGCCCGTTTGTCCGAAGCAAAAGAAAGTCACCGGTTTCTCCAAACCAATTAGGTTCTGGTTCAGATGCATTTCGGAGAGCCGCTTACACGAGATTTCAGCCGGGGTGGATCCCGTGTCCCCAAATTGCTTTGTGCAAGTGACGACGAGGCAGCCTCACCTGTCCTGCCTGCAGGTCTTTGAGGACGAGTGGGAGTCGGACCGAGACAGTGACGCGGAGTCTGACTGCTTCACGGAAGGGTCCCTGCAGTGCCGCGCGGGGGACGCTGAACCCGCCGCCCCAGTGCCCGAGGCTCCCCGGTGCCATTCCACCCCGCAAGCAGCCCTGCGTTGCAAACAGCGGGCTCCCAGCGGCGACCCCTTGGCTGCAGATCTGGAATGGGATCCTTCGGTGGACGTGGGGGGATCCACGTCGCATGACGAAGATTCGTCATACTGCAGTGCCGTCGCGGGTAAGTGGGGCCCGTCAGAAGCAATATATATTCTGATACGTAGTTCGGTACAAACCTCGCGTACTCTTAAGAGTGCCTGCTCTGTCCTGAACGGAAGAGAGAACTTATAACGCTAATGGTTAGAAATATGAATTGTCCTTCTGAGCAGGTGGTCACTGCTTTCCTTCTCTGAGGTCAAAATTCAGCCATTTCCAAAAAGGTTGCCAGCTTTCTAGCAACAGTAGCGGTTATAGGGCCTCCTTCCCACGGCACGTTTATCGTTGTTTTGTATTTGATGTGCTACTGTATTGTTGTGCTCTTGAACATTGGTCTCGGACCGTAAATAAATACGTAAGCAAGGTATTGAGCTGGGTGGGAAGGAGCCCGAAACAAGTCCCAGAAAAGTGCGGCACTCCCTGGAAGTTGCGGCTTTCTGCATCTTCTACTGCTTCCATGAACAGCCCTATTCATCTCGCTCCTGTTTGGAAATGAAATCTGGGTCTTGTTAGGGTGGGCTGCTTAACCTGTAAGGGGCCCAGTGGCTCAGCTCACTCTGTTATCCCTCTGACAAGTTGGAAGAACCATAGATTCCAGTTTAAAAAAATAAAACGGGGGGGAGGCGTGCGACATGGTGGGACCAGGAGAATTGGTTTTCTTTGCATTAAATATAGATAATATGATTGGATACTTTTCTCCCTTCTATCACATTCAAATGTCAATGTCTTAATTTTGGGGACCTCTGGAGGGGCCCCCGAGGACTCAGATTGTGCCCCCGTAACTTGGAAAAAGACCTGGATTTGCTTTTCTCTTGTAGGCTTTGGCCAGGTAGACAATCTTCGCCGAAGGTGTTGGTCTTCGCGCTGGAGCTGTGGCAAACCAGAAGAATTCTCTTTGGTGCTGGATGGGGTGGTGCTGCCCCAGACAGACCCAGTGCGTAATCTGGGGGTCCTCCTAGAGTCCCGGCTCCTGCTTGAAGGGCAGGTGGCAGCCGTGGCAAGGAGGGCCTTTGCACAACTTCGGGTTGTGCATCAGTTACACCCTTTCCTGGATTGGGATGCCCTTCGAACAGTCACTCACGCCCTTGTTATCTCCCAGATAGACTACTGCAATGCGCTCTACATGGGGCTACCCTTGAAGAGTATCCGGAGGCTACAGCTGGTCCAGAATGCAGCCGCGCGGGCTATTGTTGATGCCCCAAGGAGGGCCCATGTAACGCCTCTACTCCGCGAGCT